ATTAACGATGTTATTTTGCATTTTCTAGTACTGAATTCTGAATGCCGATAAAAAATACTTCATATTTGCCCAATTAAACGTTTTTGTAAGACCAATATTAACTGGACACTTTCAGATGACATCCTTGTCATCCATCCACAATGGCAAGAGAGATGAGAAATAATGAAATGCAAAGTTATTTCAAATTTTAGATCACCATCATAATATTATCATTTTCAAAATATCTGTCATCGTTGCAACACACGTTCATTCAATTTTCTATTTTCATCTAGTACCCGATTTAATTATATTGCTATCTACAAAGGAATAAATATATTCAAAAAAACACAAATTAAATATGTAGTCGGAATGATCCATATCAAATTCGCAAGATATATATGCATTCATACAATGAAAAATATAATCACAAATTACACAATACACTGGGTGATTCCTGGCGTCATAGCCTCAAAGCTTATGATAGTTGTGCTGATCCTCTATTAAAACTCTGATTTCAGTTTCCCGGTAGTATTCGATACAGTGCTATTCTTGATATATTTTATAGCAACTCCAAATCCTAAGTATTGGACATAAACCTGACACTTCACAGAACGAGATGTGACGTAACAAGCTATTCCCTTTTCAGTCAATATTTTTTGACTATGAGAAGGTATAACGTTGTAGACCAAACCCGAATTAGGAATATTCCCAGCATTTCAGATACCCTGCGCTCAAATATCTCAGTCAAGGCGGCAATGGGCCACACCGTTATAAATATTTTGCTCTCTATCTATCTCTAACACACAGTTTAGAACAATTTGAATTTGGTTCACACTGTTCGATAGCCCAGTCCTTCAGCTATAATCTCGTACTTCATTGAAACATAAGTGTATTCACATAAAATATCTACATGGTGTTTTCCGACACTGTGCGAAATTTCGGAATATTCAAAAGGCTCTCAAATGGTGAAAAAAATTATATTCTCAACTTCGACAACAGAGGCATGAAGATGATCTCATTACCTCGACATATTTCGCGAATCAACTTCCTATCTCTCTTATTTACAGAGTGATCTCAAAAAATCAACTTTTTGGTTTTGCAGCCATAACTTTTTTCCACGTCAACCGATTGTGGAAATCTTAGGCTCATTTTGAAGATAAAACTTCAGATGAAGAGATCTGAATATCAGAATCGACTCAAGATGGCTATCAAAGATCTAGAGTTTTCTTGAATGTGACCCAAATCTGGAACGCCCTTCGAATCTCGGTTGGGAGGAGAATTGAATGAAAATCAACTTGTTCTGGGAAAAAGAATTCATTCTGGATGCGTCCATATTTTCCTCGCTCTCAGTAGTCTAGAATTGTGCTTGAGAAAACACAATTGAAACAATCATGTTCTTGCAAAAACATTAGATCATTTCTCCTCTGTAATGCATGGCCCGCCGTAACCAACGTTACAAGAATCACAATGAGTGACTGACAAACCCGACCAGCTGAGGCTCATCATAAATGGTGTACCAACAAGAGCAACGGATTTTGATTTTTTTAATATAGTGATTTTTTCAACAGTTGTCACGTACATAACATGCGATTTAAGAATATGGAAAAGTATTTAAGCGAACAACGTTTATTTATTGTAAAAACGCATTTCAAAAATGGTGAAAGTTTCACGAAAACAGTCGCAGCAGAGATTATACACTCCTCTGGTCGCAGTAATGCGCCGAACGAATCGACAGTAATAACCAAACAATTCGTGTCGGAGATTAACCCTTTGAATGGATCGGACTGTCGTGTTTAGCAGATCCGCGATTTGGAGGGAAGATAACCCTTGTTCCCTCATTTGTGGAATCAGTTCCAACTGGTCGGGCGTCAGATGCGGCATCGAAACTATCAAAATCTGTTTATGATTCGAAAACGACGTCTAACCTGACTTGTCAGTCACTTACTGTGATTCTTGTAACGTTGGTTACGGGCCATGCATTATAGAGGAGAAATGGTCTGATGTTTTTGCAAGAACATGTTTCAATTGTGTTTTCTCACGCACATTCTTGAGTACTGAGAGCGAGGAGAATATGGACGCATTCAGAATGAATTATTTTTCCGAGAACAAGTTGATTATCATTCAATTCTCCTCCCAACTAGGATTCGGAGGGCGTTCCAGATTTGGGTCACTTTCAAGAAAACTCTAGATCTTTGATAGCCATCTTGAGTCAATTCTGATATTCAGATCTCTTCATCTGAAGTTTTATCTTCGAAATGAGCCTAATATTTCCAAAATCGGTTGACGTGGAAAAAAGTTATGGCTGCAAAACCAAAAAGTTGATTTTTTGAGATCACTCTGTAAATAAGAGAGATAGGAAGTTGATTCGCGAAATATCTCGAGGTAATGAGATCATCTTCATTCCTCTGTTGTCGGAGTTGAGAAAAACATTTTTTTCACCATTTGAGCCTTTTGAATATTCCGAAATTTTGCACAGTGTCGGAAAACACCATGTAGAGATTTAATGTAAATACCCCCATGTTTCAATGAAGTACCAGATTATAGCTGAAGGACTGGGCTATCGAACAGTGTAAACCAAATTCAAATTATTCTAAACTGAAAAAAGTTATTCACATTATAACAGGGGCGACATTTTGGTGTGCGACGAAATTAGTGTTGAGTAGTTTAAAATTCGATAAGAATAATTTTTAGCAGCCTTTCATGCGAAATAGAGGAAATAAATCACAATCGTTTTACTTGGATGATTGAAACAACATGGTGTACTCACACAAGGCAAGTTGTCCTAGTTACATTGGTATAATAGTCCAAGAGTCCAGGGCCCTCAGACATAACTTATTTTCTAAAGAACAACATGTGAAGCTTTGAGTAGTGTTTATATGTACAGGGTGGGCCAAATTGATCACTTTTGAAAGGAAAATCCTATTCTCCAACTAGATAGAAGAGTGAATTCTCATACAAAACTTAATGGTGAAATCCACATATTGATATCTGTCTTCGTTTCGGAGTTACGAAGTGTTCTTCGAAAATGGGCATTTTTGAAAAGTGGCTACAAAAAGCATTGAGTTTGTGATAACAATTGTTCTCGAGGCACTGACATCGGCTTTCCTATATCTTGTTCAAGAATATAATTTGTTCTTCTTGAAGGAAAAGTTAGATTTTGGAACTAGGTATATGACTGATTTCAGTGCCTGAGGATCAATTTTCATGACAAACACAATGCTTTGGAAAGGTTTTCATGATAACGAAGAATATTTGCAAAAAAAGAGTTTTCGCCATTATTCAAAAATACACATTTTTGAAAAACATCTTGTAACTCTGAAATTAAGACAGGCGCCGACATCAGTTTTTTACTATCTTGTACGGGAATAGGACTTTCGTTCAAGAGTGTCCAATTTGGCCCACCCTGTACATAATTTAAACACTAGTTGAATTCCCACATTTTGTACTTTAGAAAATAAGTTGTAAAAATTGGGCAGTATTTTGAGTAGAACAAGATTGAGATGTTTATAATTCCTCTGGTGTGCCCATTCTTCAATTGTTTCGTCAGACTAACTCTCTTTTTTACCTTGAACGAGAGAGAGAGGAAAGTTCTCTCCTCTTCCATCTTTCTCTTTAATGCAACCAACCTGGCCAAATTGAAATATAGAGAGGTCCGATAAATCTGTCCTTGTCTAATCTCCAGTCTGCGCCACTGAACTATTTTAGACGTTATTCGCAATAGAAAAGTAATAAAAAATAACTTGTCACTCCACCTGACGGTAACAACTTGGACTCTAAGCTGTTTACTTACGATGATGTGACCAATAATTATTAACAAAAAACAAATGTGAACCAATGAAAACGAAGTAAACATGCCGCTTTGACAGCTTTCAAGAACTCCGATAGGTGGCGCACGCTTAATTTCTAGCGCGAATAATGATATCCTTTCCTTCTGAACTGACAATTCTTTCGAAAGAACACATAATAACTGATTCAGTTCAGTCCTAGTGAGATATTTCAGTTATTTCAGATTATAATGATGTGATATGTCTGTCTACGTCCTAAATGTCATTGACTGATAACCATTCAACATTTTGAAATGAAATTACAGATTATATCATACTTATTTCGACATATTTTGTTAATATCGTCAATTTGACACTGTTGAATTCAAAAATAGTTCAGTGGCAGTAACAAGATGTTAGACAAGGAAAGATTTATCGTACCTCTATATATTTCAATGCGGCAACGTTGGTAGCATTGAAGAGAAAGATGGAAGAGGAGAGAACTTTCCTCCCTCTCTCTCTCTCTCGTTCACGGTAGAAAATTGCTCAATTGAATGCGATTTCGGAACGTGGGGTTCTCATTTTCGATGATAGATGGCGTGAACGATGGAGAATTTCTTGGAAAATTTCAAAATGCGCTTCGAGTCTTATTATGAAGTTGAACTAGATTTTCAAGGATGTGTGTTCCTTCTTCCGGGGTCTGAAGAGTCCCGTCGATGATGAACGAATTCAATAATAGCTGAATAGAAGCATCTAGAGACAGGACGCAAACGATACAGGGTGCCACAAATAATCCGTCCAGAAACAAACGTTTTCGGCATATTCATGATTTTGTTCAAATTTCAAATAGAATGTATTATGAATGATAATTTATAAGAGCATTAGTAGTTGTGAGTGTATTGGGCTTTCATCATGGACTGACTTAGCTGCAATGTGTAAGGTTTATTCGAAAATCCCAACATTCGTTTCATTTTATGTACCAAATGTGAGTAAATAAACTATTATCACAAAATTTTCTTGATTTAGAACTTCGTGTCTTCATGAATTCACTATTGAAAGTCGAAAATATAACGCACCGTTTCCATTTGCACAAAAAAATGTGAAAATGTGAACTCAGATGAATATGTCATGATACCTGTAAATTCGGTTTGAAACTTCGGTAATTTGGCAAGATTCCCCCACGCCTCGCTATTTTTACAAAGTAGGCGATATCGAGAGATTTCGAAACTCCTTTCACAGGAAGTGATAACACAATTTGACTTTCTATACATCTATATTGGTATTATCATCGTTCAAATGAACTGATGACCAAATTTATTATCAATGACAAATCAGGGAGTATCAATGATAACACCATATTCGCAAATTCATTGAAATTTCTATCTGCATGTTTCGAAATCAGGTAACAGCAGTAGAGCCCCTTATCACAATTTGACGTATCTCATCAACCATTATGCTCTGGAATAAAAAAATCAATTCCCTTTTTGATAAATTACTCAATAGTTCACTCCAAATAAGAAAACAGCGTTATAGTTGGAGAGCCGGCTGCAAATTTCCGTCATCTGATAACGAAATGTTATATGTTCCAAAGGCATGTGAAATAGTTATTTGTTTCACTAGGCAGAAAAGAAGTAGATTGACTGCCGCGGCTGATAGTTCAGGAATTCAGCCAAGGCAGTCAATGTACATTTGCTGTCGTGTGAAATATAGAATTTTTTTCTCCGAAACGAAACTGCTACTACATAATATCGAAATTTCAGCCTATACAAAACTATTGCGCGAATTTTTGCCAACCGCCTCTCCGTCTATAAAGAAGTAGCCATTCCAAACCCCGAACGAGAAACAGTACCCTATAAAGAGTGATTCAAAAGTAAGCGGCATCCTTCGAGGGGCGTATTCCTTGCATGAAAATAAGGCAAAAAAGGCCTATGAATAAGGGTCCGAAAATGCTTCCTAAGGGAGCTACGCCCCTTTGAATAGGACACTTCAAAGACGATTTTTTCTCTATAACTTTAAAATCCTTCACAATAAATTTTCGAAAATTGGTGTACGGCATAAACATTTGATGCCTTCGTTGGATTTCATTAGAAGAATTGGTTTATCCATACTAACTTCCCCACCGACAAAAATTTTGTCAATGAAGTTCGATTGGATGGCAAGGATCACTTGATTGATAAAAACGAAACTCAACGGCGCAAAATGTGGAAAATGTAAATTTGTGTGTCTGAATTGCAATGTCGGGCTCCATCCAGATTCCTGCTTTCGTTCATACCATATGCGATATGATTTTCTTGCTCTTCTTCCATATGTAATACACACTTTTAACAAACGTTATGATATATCATAGATCAAATAAATGGAACTTTTTGCCTCATTTTTATGCAAGGAATACGCCTAACCTAACCTCACCTTACAGATAGTACCTCACCAGACAGACCAAATACGCGATCACACAATGCTAATAAACCAGATAGCTGTAGCAGCTGTATGCGGCCGCCGCCATTTGCAGGTGCAGGTAAGTCGAGGCGATAAAAAACACGTGATAGATCACGTATCGCAGACAGTCTTGGACTACCACTTTGCCGGGGTGCCTCTCGTGCCTGCTGAAGCAGACGGGGATCTCGCCCGTTTTGTAGAACTGCCCCAGCATGTCCTCTTTCTCCGACCACCTGCGGAACCGTTTAGCACTGTCAATCACCGACTTAAGCTCAGTTATTGCTGTGCGATTTTGACTTTGACGATGCTAGCGATGAAACTTCGTGATATTATTATTGGTCAATTTGAATTGGGTAGACACCATCGACCAACAATAGCTTCACACGTTTCATCGCCAGCATTGTCAAAACAAAATCGTCCAGCAACAAACAAAGCTTTATAGACTAATCTAGACCGTCAATTCTATAAGGAAAAAGATGAAGGAACATAGGCGTATCGAAGGAGAAAGTTGGGAGGGGTCTACTATGTGGAAGGTTTACATAAAGTAGTGAGAAACGAATGAAATATGCCGTATTCAGGTCTCATAGCTTTCACTTATTCAGATTTGAGAACTTAATTTCAAAACACGGTGAATTTACATGTCCTGCATTCTCCTGGAAGTATCAGAAAGCTGTCTGGCGTAAAATGGTCTGAACATATAATTATCCTTCCTGAATGGTCTAATAGCCATTCATTTTTCCTATTCATAGGAATTTTAGAATCATTATTGAATGAGTAAACTTAATCCAAAATCGTCTAAAATATATGAGCAGGTATAGCATTTCACGCCAGAACTCAAATTCTTCACAGCTGAATGAATATACAAAACATGCATGATTCCATTTGATTTCAATACTTGCTCAACTGATGAAAGCATATTAAAATAATGAATCGACCCCTGATGGCACAAACAAAACATTCAAGCGGACGGATGCTAGGTTGATTCCGATACCACGTCAACGTCATAACCTGACCCTGAATTTTTGGGTTGCTGCAATATGACTACTAGAAGTCCAGATAGTCGGTGGTGTCAATCCATCAATTATTGTTGATGTTATTTCCTATCATGCATCTTGATAATGAGAGATAACATTTTTAGTCTCACCAGTTGGCGCGTTACTAGAGGGTGAGGTCATTTTCGATCTAAATGGAAAAGCTAGTTAGCACGCGAGAGGTTTTCTGTTCCTTGGGAAAAAATTTAGAAAATGTGACAGTAACCTATACCATAGAGACATCTGCATAAACACATGAACTAAGTTGTTCATTTTTTATTCTTAACCTACAAATTGTTCATGTGCCTGTCAGTGTCAAGCATAAACTGTCAAGTTTGTGAATAAAAATATCATTGGAGTTCAGAAATGAAATTGTTATTTGTTTTAAAGTAGTGATGGAGAGACTGATAGGTACTTGGGTAGAACAAATCTTATTATGGATAGGATCTCTACCAAGGAAGCGAAGTAAAGCCAATTTATTTTACCTCCCACGGGAGGTAATATTTGTTTTTCTCCCGTGGGAGTGAATTGACAGGTTTGCCCGTATTGAATGAGGAAGCAAACGCTTACTTTCGACGCAGCGAGTTGATAAAATACATTACTCATCAAAAAAAAACATATTGAATGTATACTTTTCGATAATTAATCATTATCTTCGTCAACATCTTCCATATCCAGCAACATGGCACCAATCTTACACGTACAGTTGGATTCAATAAAAAGCACAACAACAACAACACAAAATTAAAATAAAAATACAGATGAAAAAAACAATACTATACAAATGATACGCAGACTAGTTTCAGACCAAAGAAATTTTCAGGAATATTTTGTGGTCAGTGATGATGATCATATGACGGAGGGGTGTCTATATACTCTGATACCGAATAAAAACATGATTTTCTCAGAAATCGTCTCACCCATTTTTTGAATTTATAAGCCTCCATGTTCGTAACATGGGTAGGTAGATGATTGTATAGATTCACGTTGAGCGAATTTCTTGAAGATCTTGTCAACCTGTATCGGGGGAGGGGGGGCTAACTTGACCAGAACCTCGAGTATTATAGTCATGAAAATGGGAGTTAAGTTGTAGTTTACCCTAATTGTTTTGAATTTCCAGCACTTGATGATATACCGGGTGTCCCATTTTAATCTTTATTTGGAAATTTCTCGAAATGTATGCATCTGACAAAAAAAATTGACGAATAAGAGTTGTATGGTTTGGAGGGGGACGTTTGGTTATAAAACAAGTTTCACCCCCTGACACCCAGGGGAGTAAGAAATTGAGGTAACATTGAAATCTTCAATGGAAACCCCTATTTTTTATTGCAGATTCTGGAAGAGCATTAAAATCTATGAAGCTTTTATTCGGGAACTTCTTTTTTATTTTCACAAGATGGCGCTGCGATCGTAAAAAACAATATTTCACTATTTACACATTTCAACCCCCTGAAGACGAGGAAGAGTGTAGGGTGTGATATTTTCCCAGACAAACGCCATTGGGGTGATATTCACACGACAAATTAACGCTAAACGAACTTACTTACCTTGACACCTCTACATAGAAAAGAGAAAAATAAGCATGTTTCGGCAATTAAGGTATCATTTAGGTCAGACTAAAGCTGGTTTCAAGTGAGATCGACTACTTTATCAAGTGTTTGAAATGACCTCCATTTTCTTGAATACACAAGTTCACTCGTTTTTCAAAATTCCGCACTGTCGCTTCCAACATAGCAGGCGTTAAAGCCATGCACGCTCCTCTAATTCTATCTTTCATATTCTCGCATGTGATTGGGGGTTCGCGAAACACAATGTTTTTGATGTAACCCCACAGAAAGAAGTCTGGGGAAGTCAAGTCGGGTGATCTGGGTGGCCAACTACAAACTAAATAGTAAAATATTGTTTTTCAAGATCGCAGCGCCATCTTGTGAAAATAAAAAAGAAGTTCCCGAATAAAAGCTTCATAGTTTTCAATGCTCTTCCAGAATCAGCAATAAAAAATAGGGGTTTCCATTAAAGATTTCAATGTTACCTCCATTTCCCACTCCCCTGGGGGTCAGGGGGTGAAACTTGTTTTAAAACCAGACGTCCCCCTCCAAACCATACAAATTTTATTCGGCAATTTTTTTTGTCAGATGCATACATTTCTAGAAATTTCCAAATAAAGATTAAAATGGGACACCCGGTATGTAAAGCGATGGTAATGAGATAGTACCATTTGCGATAACTCTTACTACTCTCTTTTGTAGTTTATTTAAAGTTTAGATAAATGAGAATGAAATAATGAATAATACATAGTTAGAAGAACTTCAATATTAATCACTCCATTAAAGTTTAGAACAAAGTATTCGAATGTGTTTTGACCAGTTTAATGAATCGTCAAGAGTACCTCCTAGAAGTTTGACAGTGTCTCCATGATGGGCTTTTGATGAAAAGGAAATACGATTTGTTTTGCTATCATTGAGCTAGTTTCAACTTGTTTGCAGAAAACCAGTATTCGGCCTTCTTTTCTAAAGCTAAAGCTTTGTGTTTGCCGGTGACAGTATTTTTCAACATGGTAACGTTGTTGGAAAGAAATAAACACCTTCGAACTCACCTGTCGAACAGCCACTGGGTCAGCGCCTCGCTGTCCTTAGGCACGTCCTTGCTGGCGTAACGCCGGTAGAAGACGACCGTCTCGCAGGGCGGCCGGTGGCCGAACACGATGTGCCCGATGTCGATCGGCCATCCGCCCGGATACGCTATCGTGATGTCCAAGATCCATTTGATGCAGGGCAGATCGACGTGATCGTCTGAAGAAGAAGAGCAAGTCGGTAGAGGCACGGATTAATCCTTTTAAAAGATCATGTTATACACTACACTGTTTTACCACTAACCAAACCGATTTTTTACACCTCGACATACGAAATACCAAGTATATGTCCACCCAACCCTGACAATAGACAATAACCCCTGAGTTAATGTTATTCATGGTTGAGTTCACTAAATGGGATAGGTCAATTATCCTTATTCATTTTATATTATCATCTATTGCTATTCTTCAACATCTCTAAGCTTTCATATGCATCTAATTTTCTAGCCTTATCAACTTGCTTAACTAATTTGAGGTTATTAATATGTGTGTTATGATTGTGATTGAACATGTGTTCGGCTACACACCATTCATCTAACCTACCATATTTAAAATGTTCTAAGTGTTCTTTGAACCTTGTTTTTATGGGACGCCTGGTTTGGCCTATACAGAGAAGTGCACAGAAAACGGCCAGGACTGTAACTTTCGAATTATTCGAGATAGGGTTTCGAAAATTGGTGGGCAGCTCCAAATTGCTCATTAATTGACGAAACAATTTCCGTCCTATCACTTCCGGTTTTACTGGAAACGACAGAGAAAGAAGTTTTGACATCGGGACTCGTGAGTGAATCGTGAATCTAATATCAGCTGTGCACTTCGAAGGCAAAAATTCAGTTTTGCATTGGAGAGAACTTTCAGATTTTTAGCTATTCAGTGCCTTGGCCACGAATGACATTTAGGTTCATGTCTTCTGTGCAACCAGAATCCAGATGCCATGAGTCGGCTGTTGTCAGATTCGAAAAATTCCCCTGTAAAAACATAACTGGATCTATTGAAGACTGGAACCTTTGGCACGATAATACACTACAATGTTTTACCACTAACCAAACCGATTTTTTACACCTCGACACGTGTTTCGCTAACTATGTTAGCATCTTCAGGAAAAGATTAAAACTAAATGCTCTATCTTCGTGGGCTACTTATATACTGAGTATATGTCTTAAATATCTCTAAGCTTTCATATGCATCTGATTTTCTAACAATATTAACTTGCTTAACTAATTTGAGGTTATTAATTCAAGGTACTGACGTCTAAATTTTAATGTGAGATTGTTGGATTATGTGGTACACAGTGTTGGAATCATGATAAAATAGGCAGCCTTGTGTGCGTCTCATGAAAATATGGTGGCGCACAAATCATATCGGGGTAACGCACATCAAAGGTGCCGACAATGAGTGAGAGTACTAGATCGTTAAGCATTCTAATGTGGTAGAGGTCAAAAACCTCAGAATTACTAGCTGAAAAGAGTGATTTTTTTGCTTATTTCTTGTATGGAAAATACATCACATTCTAAGGACCTCTGTGGAACCGCTGCCAAATTTGAAATTCAAGAGGATTATTCGTATAACACCCATAACAACGCAATTGTCAGAAATACATTACTAATAAATAATATAAACTTATTAGTTATCGTAAGGTAGGTACATGCAAATCTGAATTATCCAAAGATTAACGTGGCAGCACCGCAAAGTTTCATAGTAGACGAGCAATATCATTGTAAGAAATGTCATTTGTTGTTTTTATTGTTATTAGTGGTTTTTCGGCAGTTGTATTATCAGTTTCCGATGTTTCAGTGACTCATTTAATATTATAAATCTATAGCAGACTTATTGCTTTTGTTGATGAAAAGTGTGTTTCAAATATTGGAAATATTGAATAACCTCACAGCCGTTACAAAATAACCGATTGATATGTTATAACACGTGAGAGTTAATTCATTAATGGAAATGCACATATTTATGAACACAGGACACAACAACGATATACTTTGAACACAAATCATATGGAACCAGGAATATTTCAGTATATCTTCCACTGAAACTATACTCACATAACTACATTTGGATTGAAGTAGTTGTTCTTTCTTCAGATTAAACCATGATTCCAGAATAATTTGAATATGGCTAAACCTACTACCACGCCAAACCGACGCCTATGAAACTAACATTGCGTAATGTAAACCACAGACTTGTTCTTAATTTCATAAAATTTGTTTATTCGCAAATGCAGCACTTTAACACCATTATCAGTCTCTTATCTTCTACACATTTTCACTTGAAGCACAAAAGACAATGAATATATATAACTAGATCAAAATATCATTCTCCACTATACAAACAAGAAAATAAACAAAGGAAATGTACCGACCACAATACTAGAAAACAGACCTTCTATATTCCGATTGAATGAGGGCTAACTATATTTTGACTGAGACCTGAGGTCAAGGTTGGCAAAACTGATATGTATACTCCTTATTTTCGTTTCATTCAGCCTTTTCCTATGATTTCTTCTCTGTTGATACGAAAAGTGCGTGTAAGCTTCCACATTGAAAGTAAAAAATGCATGCCTGCTCAAGTCAAACCATAACTCAAGTTCTTCTATCAACTCACATAGACCACAGAATTTTTTCAGAAAATCATCGAAAGAACAGGTCTCGGATCAAGGCTATTTGACAAAATTTTGTGACTTTTGACGTTGACATAGACCTCACGCTCTAGTGACGCCAAATAGTGACATGGGAAATGTTAGCACTCATTTATTAAATCTGGAGGAAAAACCTCTCGGAACTACTGAAATTTTCAGTTTCAAGTAGAATTTGATGTAAAAAATGAAGTATGTCATCAATTATTAAAAACGAATCTGACTGTGACTAGGACGAGTGGCGAAAATGTGATCGAAAGACAAATGATAGAAAAACATTTAATAGAAGTCTTTTGATCGAAAATCAAAAAATTGAAAGAACTTTTCACCGAAAATACATTTGATCGAATGTTTTATGATAGAAAATACATTTGATAGAAACATAAATGATAGAAAATACAATTGATAGAAAATACACTTGATAGAAACAGCATTTGATAGAAAATTCAACGGAGCTACGCTCAAGTTAGGTCAGTTCGTTTGTGAAGATATGATCCTTCCTCATATATTTGAGAAGAAGGAGCTAGAAGTTTGTGGTATCAATAAATTCATAAGCTTCGATTTCCATCTAGCTCCTTCTTCTCAAATATATGAAGAAGGATCATATCTTCACAAACTTACTGACCTAACTTGAGCGTAGCCCCGTTGAATATTCTATCAAAAGCTGTTTCTATCAAGTGTATTTTCTATCAAAAATTTTTCCTATCAATTGTATTTTCTTTCATTTATGTTTCTATCAAATGTATTTTCTATCATAAAACATTCGATCAAATGCATTTCTATCAAAAACACTTTTGATCAAAAGACTTCTATCAAATGTTTTTCTATCATTTGTCTTTCGATCAAATTTCCGCCACCCGACTAGGACTGACAAACAACCCAACATGACAACCTCCATACTTATAGGTATGAAGAAAGTGACCTCAAACTGAACTTATGAATATTTTAGGAAACCACAATTTAACGGTTATACGTCCATGGCCTAGACACTGAGTGGCCTTGAATTCAAAATAACTTGTACATTAGGCCAAACTGGACAATTTGAAGCAAGTAAAAGAACACATAAAAAATATGTTATAACAAAAAACTCACTTTTGACTGAATTAGAGTTATTATTGCACAACGACTTGGGACTCAGAGTGTCCATGATGATTTTCATCGCTCCGATCCTGGGCAAGGAGACGTTCTCGAATTTTGGCAAGTTCATCTTTTCGGCATATCTGTGCGATATGGCCTTCCTTTTCCTCAGGAATCCACCTTCGGGGAACAGAATCAGCCATTTCCGCTTGAGCGGAATATACACGTCCAGCAAATGTTGAGTCAAATCTTGGAGACTTCTATCCCTGTGTTTTTTACCCTGAAACGAAGACATTTCATTCGTTCTAGGTGGATCAATAGCTGGTACTGTGGAAAGCTCAGAGCAGACGGCACTGGTGAGATTTGTGGTCCTGTCAGCTGTCAGTGTTTGTTTATTTATCCACAGAAACAGGATTTATTTACGTAACTCCATTTATAATTGTTAATAAGATGAGTTAACGTTATATTTTACCTATGTATCCCTCTAGAACGTCTGGAATAAGTACCGAATTCAGGTACATCGTAACCTCACTTCTTATTCGCATCAAGTTTTCATGCATTTTACGCCATGTAACTGAGATTACCCCCCAATCACACCGAATAATTTCAACATACAACAATTTTTAGCCGATTAAATCAAGTACTGAAATTTTTGTTCCTTTTTTTTAGAAGATTTCTGTAATCAGTTCTTACAATGTACTCAGTTGTAATAAAACAGGAAAAACAAAGGATAAAAATCTAGAAAGAGATTCTTAATGAGATTGAGTAAGGCCCATTTTATATCAAATTTGTATACTTACCTATTTTTCCATATTTGCAAACTGAAGTCATGATATCATCAAATCCTTTTCCCCTGGAAACTTTCAAGAAAGCTGATTTTCCCGAAATTTGTGGGGAAAGAAATTGCAATCATCCTTCTTTGGAGATTCATTTTGCTAGATTATTTGAATAATATACCACCTTCTCGATTAACCTACAGACAGTATTTCGTCGAAGAATTATAATAATAAGACTTCGGCAGGAAATATTCGGGAGATTTGTTCTTCTTGGCTCCTATTTTCTTTCTCTTTTTTTATTATTTCTACCTGCTTCTTCCTGTTTTTTTTCTCCATCATTTTGATATTTACACTTTATTTTGAGCTTGTGAATGGGTGGGTGGACATTCATCATGTGGAAAATTTGATTATTGTTTTTCAGAAAATCTTGGAATCGGTAAATTTCTTCTGTTTGGTCTCTTCATTTTTATTTTCTTTTTTCATTCTATGAGTTCTTTACATTGTGAGAAGTATCCAAATATGGAAAATATTTTAATTTGGTTTAGAATTGACCTAACTCAATCCCATTCAGAAAACTATTCTCAAATCTTTTTATTCGTTTTTCCTTCTCTTAGGAAACGAGTTTCAGTTATTCAAAATTTTCCATATTGGGAAATAATTTTTTTTATGGAAATATACTGAATTTGTTGAGATGAAAAAATCATTCAGTAAATCTGAGTATTCACTGCAGAAAAATGTTGATTTGAAGTTTAAGACATTAATTTTTGTCTCAATAGGCTCAGGGATGAGCAAATGTTAGGTGTAATAAATGATTACTCTTGAAAACAAAGTGACATTCGAAAAAACTTGAGAACTAGAAGTTGTACTCTGATTTGCTGCATCAAAAAAAAAATATAATAGCAGAAGTTCAATTCAAAAACATGAAAATCGGAAAATAACAAATTTCCGACATTATATTTATAGGAACTTTTGTATTTCAAGTCCAAGGAAAACGATGTTGAATATTCGTACAAATTAATCAATCACCCTGTACATCCCTATGCGTTTGTTCAATTTGTGATGCATAACTTCGTGTATACTAGGGTAAAAAACATTTTCGATGTAAAAAATTGGTTAAAACTCGCAGTGGAAAGTACTTACAGACATAATGAAAAAATCCTTGTGTATAACACTAACGATACCAAAATTCGTATACTTAAACAAACTATCCATGATCCACATGATATTTGGTAGGATCTGCTTTCTTGGATTGAAGCAGGAAAATAGTAAAGGCACATCTGCTGTCGATTGGTGATTAGATATGATGAGAGTCTTATCGTCTAAACATTGTGTGATGTCATCACCCGCCTCCACCACTAAAAAAAACAAATTCTAAATCAATCAATACTACATTGCTTACTTGGTTCTATTTTTATCGATTTTAGTACAAGCATCACTGCCTTCTTGTCAATAATATTGAGGGATCAGAAGATTCCTTGCACCATCTTGCACGTAAGATCAGTACAAGGATTTTATAGAGACCTGGCAACAGCGGAGGGTTTCCCGGCCGTCAACTCCAATCAAACAAATTGCAAGAAGACACTGACATCACAGCTTAATAGTGTTTGAATTCACAGGTATTGAAATAGAATTTTAAATATCAGATAATTCATTTGTCGTTCGATTTTCTCGATAAATATATGGAAAGGATAACATTTTTAACTTCCCTTCATAATATTATAGCGAGAAGGGTCAACTTTTACGATACTTTGAAGGCCCATTGTCAACTTATTGTATTTCCATAAAGCAGGAAATACATTGGCCCCAGAACAGAACCTTGAGGAGGTCCGCCGGATACTGCAGGATAATCTAGTCATGATATCGCCATCTAGTGGCGTTAGTTCTAAGGAAGGACCTTGCGATCACGTCATACATTGTAGGTCCTCCGCCTATAAGGTTGCAAAGTGGTACTACAAGTAGACCACTCTGCCGACCTTAGAACTAACCCCACTAGATGGCGATAGCATGATTAGATCATCATTCAGTATCCGTGTTCGAAATGGGTGATATACCCGAAGCGTTGGTTGAGTTATCCCAGTTGTCAGTTGACCGAGAGCGACTGATGAGCCCAGGTGGGCCGAAACAGTACTGTCTCGCTCCTGCTCACAATTAGGGCAACTGTTTCATCCTATTATTGCTACTCAATGAATTACTTGATTTTTTGTTATTTCTCACTCACTATCATATCCAGCAGAATAGCTCCAAGACGATACAATGGCTAATAACCCATGGAAAAAATACCCTTCAATTTTCCAGTAAATGTCAGGTTTCACTTTCTTAAGAGGTAATAGTAGTATCATCCACATCACATAGGTAGGTATACAATATAAATTATTGATAATAATGAAGCACAGCCTGAATATACCCTTGGGTACTTTATACCAGTCCCTGAAAAAAATTAGTTCCATCAAATACACAAAATGGACCTTAATTAATTTAAACATAGTAAACTTATTATGTACAATATACCCAAACTGCTAATAAACAAAGGATTTTTGTGGACGACCGACTTGTTGTTTTATTTTGGTTTAATTAACACAAATATTTCGTGTCAATATGAAATCTCATAATATCGTAATTAGAGTCAATATGAAACTGAAATTGGTACTAGTGTTAATCATATTATTGACATTCAAAATATTTTCGTATTTCAACTCAATCGAGAAGTTATACAGGGTCTTTCAACGGAAACTTCAACTCTCCTTGAACTATATTTTTTTCGGGAATTCGCCGGAACCCAACAACTTAATATGTACAGGGTGGCTGGAATTTGAGCCTCCATCATTGGGATCTCGTAAATCGTAAGAGATACAGGGTCGGTTAAATTATGGCAAAGTTGCGCAATTTTAAAACTTTTTTTTCCAAGTTATTAATCGAAATGTATGACACTTTTGGCCATTTTTCTTCTCTACAAGTTGGTATTTTCAAATTTGAAAATCTGATACGGACCTGAATTTTTTATTTAATTTTGTAACACCTTTATTGGATATCCTAATAGCTATGATCTATAACGAATGTTTCGTTAACAAAAATTGGCAGTTTCGTATTGAATATTTTTAAAAAATATAGAAAATGTAAACTTTTGTAAACGAAGCATCCGAAAATAGAAATTTGTGATAGCTCATTGCTTTCGGGATATTCAAAGGTGTGAAAAATGCAATAAAAATTCCAGGTACGTATTTGAAAAAGATGAGTTGCTGATGGTTTCTGGAAGACCAGGCGTCGGATTTCAAATTTGAAATCACTAACTTGTAGGGAAGGAAAATTGGCCACGATGAAGTGTCATTTATTTCTATTGATTTCTTCAAATCATACGTAAAAGAAAATAAGGGGTATTAGTAAATTTCTTTTAGATTTCAGTTTTTTTCCAAGTTTCAGATCGACATTTTGTTAGGTATAAAATGTGAAGTAAGGACAAATTGCCCCAAATGTCACTGCGTTTAAAGAATTTTCCAATCAGAGAGCCTGAAAGAAAAATTCACTAGCTTGTCAGTGACAATTTGTATTGAAAAAGGTTTCGAGAAGAGAAATAAAGGTATACAGAAAAAAATATCAAATTTTGACTTAGCTTTGGAAGTTTTGGGAACGAATCTGCTCCCGTTTTCAACATAAAAATGGATATTTGAAGAGCAAATTCGTATTTGTCTTGACACTTTCCAGTTCTCAGTGACAATTGGTGACGTTGACAATCAAATAAGTTACACGATGTTTTCGTTGATCAATCTTAAATTAACCACATTCATTTTCAGATTTAAGTAGAGAATACCATGTTCTGTCTATATCAACTGAACAGGAAGCAATGCTATTGTCTCCGTTCAGAAGAATGCGAGCAGATTCCTTGATTTTTCTCTTCTGGTTGTTATGATTACACCCATATATAGACAGATGAGTTTTCCTTATATTTATGAAATGGAATATGGAAATTATTTTTTTTGTCGTGTATATTTCTATTGGTATTAGTGAGATGAGTGTTTTTATTGCGAACACACTGTTTTATCATTTTTGGAAATCGTTTGAGATTCAACACAGTTATTGGCATTGGATTGGTGGAAGAGGTCCCATGGAATAGTCACTAGGGGTAAGCAAATTTATGGATAATAATTGTAGGGGCAAGTGGAAGATGGGGTCAAGTAACATTTTCTAAAAATATTCGTTTATGTCATGGAAGAGAGTGTTACGTGCATTATGTGAATTGCCCTGTCAGGATTTGTTCCTATTCTTCATATCTGAGTAGATACACAGTAGCAGAAGGCGCTATGTTACACTAAACATCAAGGACGCAATGGAAGAAGGAGCTATGTGCCCATTATCTACATATCAGGAAATGGAAGAAGGGGTTATGTGAAATTATATGATAGCAAAATGCGGTAAATCATAAAAAATTGCATAAATCAAATTATTAAACTAGCTTTCATTGAAAAATGGCAGCTAACTTTACTAAAACCTATTTTTCTCACAAACTCATATTTGTAACATAACTCCTTCTTCCACTTGCCCCTTCAATTATGAATTATAATTTTCGATTATTTTCGAAAACTTCCCAACTTCGTCTTCAATGAATATGACCGGCTAGGTCATGACTTTTACAATATCATGTAACAATGACGGAAATATGTTATTTTTATTCGTTATTATTATTATGAAATTTCTGTGATTTTTATTAGGGTTTAGTTTTCATGTTTGCATTTCAATTTCTAATCCCTCAGTTACCAACTCTTTTTTATTTTTTAGAGCCCGAAATGGACAAAATTTGGATATTCAGTGAAAATCCAATACAATGGATCTACTTGTGCATCTTGGTAACAGTATATTTGAATATAATATGCCTAAAAATAGAAGTGATGGGCATACATATTGAAAGGTCCTCTCTATATAAATATATTTAAATATTCATAATGCTTTCGAATATTGCAGTAATCATGCAAAAACTGATTATAAATATTTATCCAGAAGGAACATTTCAATATTTACGCTATGCACTTTTTTTTCAATAATGAGTACGAATTAACTGACCTGACCTCGGATGTGACCTATTCCAATGTCCAATGATTCTCAATTTCATGAAACATAACTGAATTAAATTTATCAAAACTGTAGGTGGTTTCAAAGAATTGCTTGGACTTTTCAATCAGAAAATTTTCAATTACAAAATAAAGATGTAGGTAGAAATTTTAACTGCACTTTCGTCATAATATATGGTTGAAAAAATTATCGCATAACGAATTGAATGGGTATGATAATGCAAAATATGAAATTCAAGGCCACCATAAATGAACAACGTTCTCTACAACTTTTACATGTAAATCCATGAAGAAAGAACGATGATGAAACCTCACAATATCGGTGTCCATATTGCAATAATAAAAAAGTTCTTGGAAAATTTATTAGAAATTATAAAATTTCTGTGTACATTGTCATGCATAAAGTTGGGAAAACTTTTAATACAAATTAATTTCGAAATTTGGCTTGGGCATAAAGTTTTGCTTCAAAAGGGATGGAAAATTACTCGGTTGGAGTCACGTGACTTTCTATACATATTTGTTCTAATTTCGAAAAACTTCACAAAGAAAAGTTGTTACCGGAACAATGCGTTGTTGCCAAATCTAAAGATAAAGAATCATTCTGGGCTTATCATTATTGAATATTCAACTTTTTCGATGCACATAATATTTATGTATGGTACATAGTTTGATTCACCCAAATTTCGATTCACCCAATTCTAGATTCACCCAATTTTGGATTCAACAATTTTCAATTGGCCCAAATTTCCATTGACCAAAATGACGTAATATAAGGAAGGAAAATACTCTTTCCCGCATAAAGAAGAACCACCTTTTCTGAACTATCTAACCCAACTTGGCCTAAATGAACCTTCTTCCTAGAACGTATATTATCAGGAAAATTACTTGAAAGAACAAAAGAGGCTACATTTTCTGAACAATCTAACCTTAATTCACTTTTTTTTAAATAATCTAACATAACTCGTTCAATTGAACCCTCATCCTAGGTATACAAATTTTTGAACAATCGAAAATTGGGAGAATCGAAAATTGTAAAAATTTCAAAAATTCCTGAAAATTGGAAAAATTCCTGAAAAATGCAAAAATTGCAAAAATTCCGGGAAATAGTAAAAATCGCAAAAATTCCTGAAAATTGCAAAAATCGCAAAAATGCCTGAAAATTGCAAAAATTGCAAAAATTCCTGAAAATTGCAGAAATAGCAAAAAATGCAAAAATTCCTGAAAATTAGAAAAATTTCTGAAAATTGCAAAAATCGCAAAAATTCCTGAAAACTAATAAATTGCAAAAATTCCAAAAATTCCTAAAAATTGCTAAAATGCAAAAATTGCAGAAATTGCAAAAATTCCTGAAAATTGGAAAAATTCCTGAAAATTGTAAAAATTTCAAAAATTCCTGAAAATTGGAAAAATTCCTGAAAATTAAAAAAATTTCTGAAAATTGCAAAAATTCCTGAAAATTGGAAAAATTCCTGAAAATTGCAGAAATTGCAGAAATAGCAAAAATTGCAAAAAATGCAAAAATTCCCCGAAATCAGAAAAATTTCTGAAAATTGCAAAAATTCCTGAAAATCGTAAAAATTGCAAAAATCGCAAATATTCCTGAAAATTGTAAAAATTGCAAATATCGCAAAAATTCCTGAAAATTGCAAAAATTCCTAAGAATTGCTAAAATGCAAAAATTGCAGAAATTGCAAAAATTTCTGAAAATTAGAAAAATTCCTGAAAATTGTAAAAATTTCAAAAATTCCTGAAAATTGGAAAAATTCCTGAAAATTAAAAAAATTTCTGAAAATTGCAAAAATTCCTGAAAATTGCAAAAATTCCTGAAAATTGCAGAAATTGCAGAAATAGCAAAAATTGCAAAAAATGCAAAAATTCCCCGAAATCAGAAAAATTTCTGAAAATTGCAAAAATTCCTGAAAATTGTAAAAATTGCAAAAATCGCCAAAATTTCGGGGAATTTTTGCAATTTTTGCTATTTCTGCAATTTCTGCAATTTTCAGGAATTTTTCCAATTTTCAGGAATTTTTGAAATTTTTACAATTTTCAGGAATTTTTCCAATTTTCAGGAATTTTTGCAATTTCTGCAATTTTTGCATATTAGCAATTTTTGCAATTTCCAGGAATTTTTGCTATTTTTGCAATTTTCAAGCATTTTTGCGATTTTTGCAATTTTCAGGAATTTTTGCGATTTTTGCAATTTCTGCATTTTTGCAATTTTCAGGAATTTTTGCGATTTTTGCAATTTTCAGGAATTTTCACAATTTTCAGGAATTTTTGCAATTTTTGCATTTTTCAGGAATTTTAACAATTTTCAGGAATTTTTGAAATTTTTGCAATTTTCAGGAATTATTGCAATTTTCAGGA